TACGAGATCTTTCTTGCTATGACTCGAACACAAGATCAAGTCTGGTGGAAGAAAGAAAATCTCAAAGGGATTCGAGAAGAAGAGTTTCGAGAATTCTCTTAGAGATATAATTTCATTCTCCAGAGAAAGTGGGAGAGATTCGTATATTATTTGGCTCAACCCGACGGTCTCATTTATAGGGACAGATAATCTTTGCCTAATAATATATTTGCATTAAAATATTAGGATACAATATGTTATAAAAATCATATCTAAATATTATAAGATATCCTAACATATTTAACTCATTTTAATCTCATTCAAATTTCAAATATATTTTTAGTTAATGTATCAAAATATATTAATTTATTTAATATTTAATAGTATTAAATACAATAAATATATTTTTCTTTTTTAATATATCTTAAATATTAATAATAATATATTTTTCTCCACTTATATTTAACATATCTAAAATATTAAATATTAACTTAAACCCTTCGGATTAAATATACTTTCCCTATATTAAATATCAATTTCAACCTTCCACATTAAATCTATTTTCTCTTTTATATTTAATATGTCTAATAATATTAAATATTAATTTGAACCCTACCCATTTTCTTTCAAATAAATTGAACATTTTAGTGTTACAATGAGCTAACAAGGGGACCTTATGGACCTATCTCCAATGAAACAAAATTAATTAATTAAACTCTTTAATTAATCAATTTTCATTCTATGGTCAATCCACTATAGACCTAGAGTTGCACTCTTATGCACGACAGAACAAGTTATGTCCATTGATATAACCATTAAAAGCAAGTTGATCCTTCACGAGATGTTCATAATTACAGTTGGGTCAAAAGTCTATTTTACTTTTGTAATTACATCTTTCACCTTAAGTACCACTGATTCTCTAATAAACAATTTGTTTATAATCCATTCATAAACCAATTCTCTCTCAGGCCAATGAGAGGGTGGGGCCCCATTGTTCAAGTCCCGAAATCAGTACTTAATAGAACAATACATCTACTTCCCTTATATAGAAAATAGTGAATTTCATCTCATGATATTATTTTGCATATCTAACCCCAAGAGTGGGGTGACTTACTAAGTATTTCATAAAATACTCCAGCTATGTGCTACCCTAGTTTTTCAGGTAAAGAAAAGGCTTGATGGTATTAATATAACACATGCGGAAGTAATTTGGATCTTAGGCACTCCAATTGCATGAATTATAGTAAATTAGCTAGCATGTTCATAAGCATTAAAACTCAAGGAGTTTGAGTACTAACCTTTTGTAGTTCAAATTTCTTTTTCCTCACTAACCGATTTTGAACCACCACAAGTGTCTTTTCTACTATTCTCCGGCCTTATAACGAGATTTGTGGAATCGGGTGATTGACTAAATTTGGAAGGGATTTAGTATATGTGAAGAGAGAGTTTGTCAGGGATTTTCTCAAAGTTTTTTTTCAAGAAGGTTTCCATGTACCATGACTCTATTTATAGAGTCATATTTGCATATGCTCATGCAAATTTGAGATTACCAAATTTTGACACTCAAAAATCCACTTAAATGTGTGAGATTATGTGGCAAACATGCAAGTTTGGTTAAACTATATATTGACACTCAATATTCCACTAACTCAAATATGATTTTTTTTCATTAAGTGAAATCAACATTTTGACTCTCTATTTTAATTTAACAATTAATTTAAATAATTAATTTTAAATTAAAAATTAATATTTAATATTAATTCAAGTGTCAATCTCAATCCATTCCGGCACATATTGATTATGAATCTCTATTCATAATTTAAATCTTATTTAAATATCTCCAATTTTTTTTTTTTTTAATTAAAACAAAAATGATGTTAGATATATCGTATATATTTAGCGCATATTCCCTAATTTAAATTTGAACATTTCGAACTCACTCGTCACACTGTTCTATGGTTTAGTCTGATATGAGCTAGCAGGGGAACCCTTAGATCATGGGCTCCAACGATCCGAGATTAACTGACTAAACTCATTAACCTTGTTGACCAATATTCGTTAACTACTAAGACACTCCATTATAGTCTAGTAGTTGCACTCCCCTCACTATAGCTATATTTCTGTCTATTTGATATAACCATGATTAGTAAGTCGATTCTTCACAGGTTGTTCGTAACTATAGCTGGATCAATTTACCATTTTACCCCTGAAGTTACTGTAAACCGAATCTCTCTCAGGCCAATGAGAGGGTGGGGCCCATTGTTTAAGGCCTGGAGTCAGTACTTAAGGGAACAACCTCTCTACTATCCCTAAAAGAGGGTAGGAGTGAATTCCATCTTGCACCCTATGTCCCCAGCTATTCACCCAGTCTTACCTCTGAAATGGGAGGCTTATTGAGTTGGCGAACTCGAGACACTCTCACTCATGTAAATCTAAGGATAATTCCAAATAAACAGGAGTTCATGGTTAGCTGAGGATTAAGATCGAGTTAACTAGGTCATCAAATGAAAAAATCAGTCTCAACAGTAAACGACATTATAAAGTGAGAGTGATTTTCTTCATGGTCTGATCTTATGCAATACTCATTGCATAGGACGCCCCCACTCACATGTCTCCACATGTAAAATTTAGTGATCACATTGTTTATATCATATACAAAAGTGGGTCGCATTTATAGTGTCCTCAGGATAAGATATTCAGCCTAATCCTTGTACTATAGATCATTTTGACTATATACTTGAATTTGATTCACTCTTATGTCTCTACGTATAGTGCAAGTAATCATACTATAGCCAAAGTGTTCTTAGTTTATTGAATTTAGATTAATGATCGTAAAATTCACTTTATTCAATAACAATCTTTACTGAATAAACATCAATAATAATTTTACTGAAAATAGAATATGTTTTTATTTACAAACTATGAGTTTTAGGACATAAAACCCAACAAAGCTCCCATGCATAGTTGAGGATGGTGCTGTGAAGACCCTCGAAGATAAAATGGTGGCATAATAGGGCAATAAATGTTTTGTTTGAGTTTTATTTCAAGAGACAAACATTTGCATTGAAATTTCTTGTCTTAGTAGTTAAATGTTTTTTGAATTGGGTTAAATTTCGTATTTTGAATAATTTCTCAAAGACTAACTTTATTTCAAAGTTATTTAATATGAATTCTTCATGACTTATACAAGGATAAATTAGGAGTCTACGAGTTTCATCATGCTTGAAACTTGAAAAAAATACTTGTATACTAATGGATGTAATTGTTAATCACTTATTTAAAAAATATATCTATAAACTTTCAAAATTAACCTCTTACCCTTAAAAAAAAAAAAAAAAAAAGTTTAAAATGTATTTACCTACCGAAAATCATTCACATACACATTATCACTTTCCTCTCTCATTCTCTCTCTTTCATCTTCCTTAAATCTGTGTTCTAAAGCCTTCATATTTATTTTCCTCTCTTATTCATTACCCTCTTAATCTTCTTCTTTAATTCCTCGATCTAAAAAAGTTCCTCCTTTTAAGATATATAGGCTAGCAAGAAGAAAAAAGAATAATGTAACCACCCATGGACCTAAGAATATAAGAATTTTAACAAATTTTTGGGTTAGTAGCTGAATGTGAGATAATATATCATTTGGGTTTGAGATACAAAAGAGAGAAGTCATACTTTTTGAGGACAATATGTGGGAGATATTTCCGAGTAGAGTTATGCCCGCACAAGTTCGAACCCTGCTGTCGATGTCTTATAATAATGATATCTAAAGATATTTTCATGTTATTTATAAACACAATATAAACATGTATCAATGAATATAATATATTTTTTTTACACTATAGGGGATCGATACGACTATTTCCCTAGCAAATCATACCTAAGCAAACTCAGCTAAGATTAGAGTACTACAGTTAGAGTGATTTACATGTTAACCTAGGTCAAAATATTTTTAGTGCACCAAGACCTAGGATCATGAGTGGCGATCAAAGGTATATACTTGAGTACACCCTGAGGACTAGTTTACTCCTGAGAAGCTAACTGTAAGTGACCTAGAAAAGTGAGATGAGATCTAAACTTCCTAGAAGTGTTAAGAACCTAGTAAACCTCTAGACCACCCAAGGAACCTCAAGAGAACTTATGAGAAGCCTAGCCGCATAAACAATGTCAACATAAGGAATTGCCACTATGTGTAGAAATAGGTAAAAACCCCGTACCCGCCTTGAGAAGGGACGAGGGACTATAATAGTTAGGTGGCACAAGGAATTGATATTATGTGTAAAAATGGGGTGAAGAGCCATAAAACCCTACTTGAGAGTGCACGAGATACTATATGATTAGGTGCATAGAAATCCGTCTTTAGAGGGGCAAGGGACTAAATGAGTAGACAACATGAGGAAACACTAGTTTGCATAGGACAAACCCACCTTGATAGGGGACGGGGACTATATAAGTAGATGATGTAAGGGAAGAACTTCCTAAGCCCTAAGAAAAGTCCACGGTAACGTACTAGGTTAAATAAGGAATGAGAACCTACAGGTAGGTGCACGGGATGTTTTTATACTCATTCCTTTTCCCTTTTCTTTTTTTTAGTACTAGTTGTGGTGGGGGTGCTCAAGAGCTGCACTATTACATAGGGGTGTCTATCCGTGGCATTAGCCTATTTGTTTACTTTGGATTGTCATTTGTAATCACGTTGTACTCCCTTTCGTTCCATGTTTATAATTAACTTTCTCGACACTTGTTTTTGTTATATTTTCAATAGTGTTTAAGCCTTTTCGGATTTTGTTCTATGATTTTAATTGGAATGAAATTTTACCATATTTTCATTATTCTTTTACTTTTTTTTAATTATTACATTGATTTGCTTTCGTCTTGTCTTTTACATGATAAGATAAAAGTATTAATGTAATTTTTGAAAAGCTAGAGATATTTTAAAAAATAAATTACTAATAATTTCGTCATACACTATCAATAAAAGTTTTTTTTTTTTTTTTTTAAGTTAAATTTAAGAGTATTATTAGAACTTTTGATAGTAGGAGAATTTTTTTAAAATAAAAATAAAAATGTTCGAGTAATTTCTATAATTTAAAATTATATTCGCATCAAAAGGCAAGTGGTGCCTCAATTCCATGTATTTTAATGAATACCTCTTTCACCCTAATGCATGTCAATCACAACTCTAGGTCTTAATTCTCTCGGCATTGTCTCCTTCAAGTAAGTTTAGCATTTTAAAATAATAAAATAGTTCAGTTCTTTAATCGAAATTGGGACTAGGCATAGAAAAGCTCGATCAACGTCCTTCTCTCCCTCTCGGTCGAGTTGCTTCACTCCACCAAGTGTGGATCTTAGAGGGTTTAAAGGGCAAGACGACGTGAGGAGAATATCTTCGATGGAATAATTTCTTAGATGTATTGCCACATCCTCAGGAGACTGACGAGATTGAGCCATCACCTCGAGTTCACACTCATAATCTCAATGTCAGGAAACTCAATCTAAAAGTTATGCTCACCAAATTTTTGGTTTTAAGCTATATTTACTCATCTATTTATGGGTTAAATTTTTCTTTTTCCTCCTCTTCTCTCTTCTCTCTTCATTTTTTTTTTTTTTTTCCTGTAGCCACCACGGTAATTATTATGGGTAAGGTTGATTGAAGGGATAATTGGGAAAGGAGATGAGAGGTCAGTGAAAAGGAGGGGGAATAATTGGTTTTTTTCTTTTAAGAAAAGTAATTTTTTTTGTTTATTTATTTATATGTTGATTTGTTTATTTATTTATATTGGACTATTATATCATATACCCCTTCAAACTTCGTCCCGACAAGTGTTTTAATCTTAGAATAACTCGGGTTTTATTCTAAGAGTTTTTTTTGTTAAGTCTTGAAGTACAACTAAGGAAAAATTCTTAACAAGTACGCCTTCATTCACATGAATCATAAATATTTCTTTGAAGGTATAAATCTAGCATAAGCATATTGTCACTTGGTATTTATATAAACCTTGATTTCTCAAAAGGTGTCTTGAGGGTAGTTTCGTACTTTTTCTCTTTGTTCACGTTTCAAAGTTGTCTTAATCCCCTTAAAATCATGCATATTTGCCCTTAATATCATAAATGAGTCTCGTATAATTTTCTATAGTATTTTGAGTTTTTTAAGATTTTGAAAAACATCTTCCAATTTTCACTTTGGTCTTTTAATCCTTTACCACCCCAAATCTTTGTTTAATTCTTCAACATGTTCCAATGGCCTTGTAACTTTGTGTAATCCCTTTACACCATGAAATTAGGCTCCTCACCAAATTTCATCTCATTTAGAGATCACTTTGGTCATAAACTAGTGGTACATAATTATGGGGGCATTTTAGTCATTTTACACCTACACTTAGTTTAGCCCGTTATCCTAACCTAATGGTCACCAAATTTCATACATAACATTATCATGACATATGGAGTCTTCTCCTAAAATTTCATGGCAACACAATTAATTTAGCAGGTTTGTGTTTAAGACGCTTAATTGAAATTAATATTCATTTAGACACTAAGGTTAGAAAACCTTAATTTCAACTTTCTCACTTTCTTTATTGCTATTCCTTACCCTAAGAGTCGTTTTCTATTAGGATGTCCATTTCGATTCATTAGCATTTCACAATTCTAATGTAATTGTAACATGAATTTGTGAAATAGGGCAAAATTACCTTAGAGTCAAAATTCCCTTTATCGAGCTGAATAGTCAAGCTTCAGCCATTAGAGCCGCGCGAGCCGAGACTTTTCAAGCCGCTAGAGTCGAGAGAGTGTTTCGCTACAGGTGTGCCACATGGCGCAAGGGGTGGTAACATGTGTGCAGGCTGAGTCGGGTCGAGGTGCGGGTTGCTGCTGGCGCACGGGTCGCAGCGTGGTGCTGAGCTGCTCGTAGGCGTGGGCCGAAGCTATAGATTTGGGCCTCAGATTGGGCTAGTTTCGTGTTGATGCTGGGTTGCAGGTCCAGGTGGGCCGAGGTTGATGAATCGATAGTGGGTCATGGACTGAGACCAACCTGGATCCAGATTCGATGGATCCTTTGTTCTTCACCTGGTTCATCGCAATTTTTCTGTCGACTTTCTCTCTCCTCTGAAACGGTACTCCTACGTCAGTTTCCCCTTCTTTTTCCTTCTCCACTCCTCTGTTGGCCCCTTCTCTTCACTCCCGGCAAGGTTTTTGTAACACCCGCTCATCGACACGATTAACAAGAGTATCATTGATAACGATAACAAATTTTGATATCCAATCATAAATCTCAAAATATTTAAAAAAAAAACATCCGGTAAAACATTTAAAACTAGTACTCTTTAAATCTTAAATGACCAAATAAATTTTTGACCACGAAAGCATAATTACATAAACAGACATGGATTCCCAGTAGTCTCTAGTCCGTTGGTCTCGTTCTCGGTTAGCTTGCATCATCTAAATCTGGAAAGAAAAGTTAAAAATAATTTTGATGGGTAATTCGTAAGTAACTAGCTTATCATTCCTGAGTTCATAACTAATCTTTACAGGTGTTTTTAAGTTTTATTACTCCTAGTTTCTCTTACTAGGGTCATCTGTTCAATAATGAGGTATTTCAGCTACCTTCAACTTAGGTTACTGACTCTCTTTTGATAAGCTTATCTAGAATTTTTGGATTCGTATCGTATGTAAGACTCGCTCTCGGTCAAATACGGTCTGTCTACTAATTTCTCTGGCGGCCTGTTTATCTCATATACCAACGGTCAGGAGTACTTATGCTCCCTAACTTAGCACACAGCGCGTTGGCCAGGAACTCCGCGGGAATTAGTAGACTATCATACTCATATAAATAAGCCACGGCTCAACAACCAACAAGCATATCCAAGTCATAACCTTTCCATTAACATGCATAACATACTCACATTTACTGCATGCTTTCGTACATTTATCATGTTCAACACATAGAACATTCTAGTAATCATTTATATCATGTTTATATCACAGGCAAGCAATAACGATATACAATAAACATTCAATATCATCAAAGCTCATTTTAACAGAATAAGCTCTTAATCAAGTAAACAACATACTCGCATGTTGTAAAACAAATTAAGAACTAGTTCAAAAATCGATATGCTACTTAGTTTCGAACTCTTTTTCCCCTTGAATGTACGTTTAATAGGTATTCTAACACAATTCCTTCCTATTAGACCTATATTTTACCAATTTCAACATAAGTATAGACCAATTTTGATAGAACAAGTCAAAAGGAGTCGAATGGGACAAACCGAGAGCCAAAATAATTTCTCACGCGCTCATCTTCAACCTCTGTTTCCTGCAATTTTTTCCCAAACTTTTCCTTTAATAATACCGTTGTGTCCCAAAGCAATATTTCATCTCTTCAGCTCGGATTTCATTCTAATTTCTTCTACAACTTTATAGATCTCCTAATTACGTTTCTAACAAGCCCTATTTCATAATTTATTATACAATATGAACCAAGCTATCGAGATTTAAAAGTTTGGTAATATGGATTTTTCGTTACCTTTGAATAATCGTCCAATTCAGCTCGTGGTTGTATCCCCTTCCTCAAAGGATTCCTCAGCAACAACCTCTCTTTCCCCGCTACTTTTTTTTTTTTTTTTTTTTTTAAACCTAATCAAGTCCCTAATTCGCTTCCACACCATCTAGCAACTCCAGCCTACGCGTTCATTGCCCCTGTGAATGTTTGATTAATCCACCAAACCATTGGTGTGAAAGTTATCTTATTTATAATCAAATAAATTACAAGGATATGTAAATAGTAATAAATGGAAATAACAATACATGGAAAGATACCTATGATAATAAGGCAAATATTAGATATTTGCCTTATAATAAAATTCAAATATAATATATATGGTAAACTATAATTTATTACTAAATATCGTTAACAGCCCATACTATAATTTATTACTAAATATCCTTAACAGCCCCTCATCCTCCTTTACAGCAGCTGTGCTGACGCAACGGCTGTATTTTCGTTTTTTTTGTTTTTTTTTTAATTATTATTATTATTAACAAACACAACAACAAATAAATACAAAATACATATTATCATTATTTTAGGTTATTACAGTTTTGCAATCAAATTCATGAGGTTCCAAAACCCAACACTTGAATCTAAATTCCGACGAAGCAAGACGTTGTTAAAGTGTAGAAAGCTTACCCCTTGTATGCGCACAATCTCCGGTGGTCCTTTTAGCAATATGGGATGGTCGTTTCAACGTCATGTTCGTGGGATTGACCTCATTGGAGAACTTTCAGCCTTCTCTCTCTCGTTCTTTTCTTACAGGTAGACTTCGAGAGCTTGTGTGGCTGAATGGGGCGTGTTTTGAGGAGTCCTAGGTGAGGTGAGTGTCTGAAAAGAAATTTCTTCCTAAGTCTTTTATCTCATCCTCTTGCTCCCATGTGGCTTCTTCTTCTTTAGTATGATGGTTCTGCCATGGTACTTTGATGAACGTGATATCCCTGTTGCGTAGGGCTTTCCTTCACAAGCTAAGATTCTTATAGGCTTCTCTTTATAACTTAAGTTTTCATTAAGCTGAAGGGGCTCGTACTCTATTACATGGATAGGGTCCATCATGTATTTTTTCAGCATTAACACGTGAATTACATGAATTGTGTACACCTAAGAGGGAGGGTGGTAGGGCTAGTCTATATGCCATTAGGACCAATTCGCTCAAGAATTTCGAAGGGCCCAATGAACCAAGGACTTAGTGTGCCTTAACGCCCGAACCTCAAAACACTCTTCATTGGTGTAACTCTTAGGAATACAAAGTCCCCTACCTTGAATTCTAAGCTCCAATCCTTCACATCTGCGTAATTTTTCTGTCTACTTTCAATAGTACGCATTCTTGCTTTAATTTTCTGTCTATTTTGAGTGGTACACAAACATAAACGTTTACGAACTAGAATTTTAATTTATCATTTTTAGTTATAAAAGAATCAAACTTATTTTTTATTTTTTTAATACAACAAATTGAAAAGGAAAAACTTCTCTTGGTTGAGATGTTC